TACTCCAACGTACCCCTAGGGGTCCGCTTACCCCCATTTGAGAACCACTGAATAGGAACAGGGGTGTTTCTAGCTTTTTCTGAACTTAGTGTTCCTTCTTTTGCAAAAATACATGATCACACTAAGTAATATTAAAGTATATAAGAATGTGTAAAAGAGGCCACAACTAGCAACCCCTAATTTCCTTAAAAGTATTAGTCACACGAATAACATTTAATCAGTAACCTAATCTGTGTATCACAATATAAAAGTGACGTCACCTTATGTTACTTTTGGATAACCTCTATATTAAAGGGTCCTTTTATGCTTTTGGGGGTTTTCCCTTTCCTATAGTGTGTTCTATAGGTTTTTGTATGTAAGTGTTCTGCAAAAGCTAAAAACCCAGAGTTCCCTCCAGACGGAGTTTCTCCCACATACTCCCCCCCGAACTGCCTGAAACGCCTTCATTGGACTCCTTTGTTTTCTTTCGCGAAATAGTGACATCACTTCGTAGCACTCCGTTTCTATTGGCTAGACGTGAGGCTAAGGGGCGGGACATCTCTAAGCGGTTGACCAATCACAACAGAGCCTGCCAGCTAACCAATCAGAGGGCTCTGGTTTAAAAATGTATTAAAAATAAAGAATGTCAGTAGCCTAAATGAAAACCACAAATAAAAAATCAGGAAGGACGTCTACCGATAATATATCAATCTTTATTTGAATATATATAATCCTGCTAGATATTCTGATTTTGATTCCAAACAATGCTTCCCTCTTTCAACAAGGTTTTTATTTTAGTTCTTCTTCTAACTTCATTAAATAATAATGCAAACAAGGTACCAGAAAACAACAATGAGATAAAGCGGTCGGCTGGAAAGCATATCTTACATCCTGCTTCATTCAAAGACAGACAAACAAAGTGAACCAAAACGTAATCATTGTAGAGATAATAATACATAACCACACTGAAACAGCAGACGGTTTAATCTGATATAGTTCACTACATACAGTATATATGACACCCCTAACTTGTGTGAGAGTTAAATGTTGAATTGGGACCTATATATTCCTTCATGCACAATTTTCACATATTTTATTTATTTGACCCAGTGACCTTTATCCATGCGTTTGTCAGTGTTTTCTTATTCCCTCACTTCTGTTTCTTGTGGATGACGTCATGGGTTTTTGTGCTCAGACACTTGTGTTACTAACTTCTCTAAATCCTAATCCCTGTGTTGTGGTCATGAAATCTCTCTAACCGCCCTCTCAATCACCTGCTCACCTTTTCCCTCCCCCCGCACTTCCTCTTCCCTTCTTCCCCTCTTTCTCTCTCCCTACTACCAGTGTGTTTAGAGGCCTAAACCTTAATCCGTAGCCTCAGTGATCTTATTACTCTAATCTGGGCTGGAATTGGTTTAACTTCTCTCAGACAGTGGCAGACAGAAGGACAAGGACAACAACGGCAACAAGACAGCTGCAGGAAGGAGCTGAACAGGAACAGGAAGGCGTGGGAGGAAGTGGTACAGAGGAAGAGAGTTTATGGTCGGAGGAGGAAGGATGAGACGACAGAGGTAGGAGGGGATAGATAAAAAGAATAGACGAGTTTATCTGAAATACATTTAGTATCATCTGGTGTTTACTACGGTGGCCAACCGGTGCAAACGTCTTCCAACGACCCAAAACACATCCATTCGGAGAAACGCGCTGCACTTTCAAATACAATGGAAATATAAAAGACAAATGTGTGAAAACACATGAAAATGCAAAAACATCTTCACAAAGTTGACAACACATGAGCAGCTTTTAGAAAACATTGACCATACTTGACAAAATATGCTCAGGGTTTACTTAAAGCAATGCATAAACAAACGCTTCAAATACAAAATGCTGCAAGAAGCTCAAACCACAACAGAACAGGGACACTAAAAAGTGATGCACACAGCTGGAACCGGAGTGTTGACATTCGGGTATTGGGAGTTGGTGTGTTTCGGTATTATAAGTGTTTTGTTAGTTTATTGGAACTGACTAGGTTAGATACGTTAGCTAGCTATCTCACTGCAGATCTGCAATAATATGTGAATTCTAATGGAAGTGTTTTGGGCTGTTGTAGTGCGTTGCCCCATAGACTGTACTGTAAATGTGAAGGCTTGCACCTGTCGACCACCGTATTTTACTTGGAACAAAACATGTTAATTAATTAACTAATGCCCATTGAAAAAAAAAAAAAGGCAAGTGAATAAAATAGAAACATCAGTAAGGATTGCACAGTAAATAATTGTTGTGCCACTTAGTCCAATAGGAAGGACTCCAATGTATACGCTGTAAACATGAAAACCTGAGGGAAAAACATTCACAGTATACAAAGCAAACGTACATGGAACTAAGGGGTTCAATCTGGAAACCGTATACAGCATTAATAAAATAATACTTTTGTTTTTACCCAATATTCCCTTGAATTCTTGAAGATAAGGTTGGTTTACTTGATGCCTCCCTGGTGAACCAATAAGAAACTGAGAACCTTCTTGATGAATTGTAGTAAATGGGGGTCATATACAGCACAACTCTATCAAAACATACATTTACGAATTCTAACATGAATCTTGCAGTTTAATCCAAGATTAATTTATCCTGTCGTATGCTCAATACGTCCCAAACACATGTAACTTTATTATTGAATACACTTCCGCATTAACACGTCACTGACAGTAGGTAAAAGAGATTTGATATAGCTATGCTGTTGCTAAATTCAGCCACAATTTATTTTTTAAATCCTACACTCACTCTGGAGGCTTCAAAAACACGCTGGGTGAATAACTCATGTACACATGTACATTTGGAGGGTGAAGTATTCCTTTAATTATTGAATGGATTGCCTCTGTTGCGACATTTGCAGATAAAACACAAAGCAAACCTCAAGTCAGTGTCAACTGTTGCCTGGTCCTTAGTCGTTTTTTTTCAAACACACAGTTTGAAGTATTTTAATCCAAAATGTCCCAATATTGGTTGAGAGTTTATATAGTGAACACTGCAGCAACCGTTTTCTGATATGATCTGTCCTTTAACCCTCAACTGTAAAGCCAAAGCCTCTTAGTGGCCACCAGTGATTATCCGTGGCTGTATATGTTTGCACTTCAAATCTGGTTCATGTTGTCATTGGTGCATTCAATCAAATCAGTCATTTTAAATGCCACAAAACGGATGCCTTGGAACCATGTGCTCTAAGTTAATGAATATCAATCTCTGGGTTTTCCCTTAAGCATCATATTCCGGCTTGCAGACAGTAGCAAATATGACGCAGTGTTTGCACTTCTTTTTTCATGTATAGAACCAATACCCTAGTTTCGTGCAGTTTTTGGTAGAACGACTTACTACTACTGAAATGTTGTTTTCCTACAATATGAACTATGTTAATTACGTTGTGTAACAGGGACACTTAGTCTTTAGAAGAGTTGTTGCTATGGAAAAATTTAATGTTTCAATTATTTAAGAATGATAACACACCAGACACGTTTTAGCTGTATTATTTGTTAATCTGTCTAACAGAACAAATGTTTTTTGGTTTTAATCAAAACATTCTGTCCTGACGTGGCTTCTATCTGTAGCGTCCTTTATCCTGTTTTAAAATATAGTTTTCATTCTGTATTTATCAATAGTCAGTAATAGAGTGGTGCCCAAATGAGTCCTACACTCAGAAACGAGCCAGCATTTTAGCCCTCCCTTGTCTCAAAGTCCACAAGGTATATGGTGAAAACAAGCTAATGACATTTTCACGCTTTGTTCTATGACATCAAATATGTGGTACTGGTGAACCTCTAAAGCTTTTACATGTCTTTAAATGGCGTTGTTTACAAGAGACTACTAGACGTCATCCACCAAACTTGATCTGCCTTTTGCTTGAATGTCTTGACGTGCAGCTATGCTACGGTGATGTAGTTCAGTTATACAGTAGCCTAACTTTAGCTTAAAGGGGACCTATCAAGCCAAATGCACTTTTTTATGTCTTTTATACATAAATATGTGTCCCCGGTGCGTCGGGGAAGTCACGCAGCATCAGAAAATAAAACCCTTTCTCTTTTCCTCCGTACCCAAATCTTTCAAAAACGGGGGTACAAAGAGCGGACACAGATTTGCTGCCGATATGACGTCAAATCGGCAGCAGACCCTCAGAAAGTTGCTATCAGAAACAATGCCTGACGTGTTTTGGACGTAATGTCGTCTTTGTTTACATTAGCAAGCCTCGCTAACACTCAGAGCTAACCTGTACTGTAGAGTGTAGAGCAATAAAAAGCAGGAAATAATCCTTGATGTGGTTTAGAACATGATGGCGTTTTATCACAGCAGAATTTAACTTTATCTCCGGTAGAATTTTGATCAGGCATTAGCTCCGCCTCCTCTTCTTTTCTTTTTTTCAAGCTAAGGACCCAAGGTCCGCGTTTCTCTAACAGGGCTGCAAAAGAGGGGTATGAGCAGTATGAGGCATGGCTACAATGGCAGACATGTTTTGTATAGGTATGGCCCTACAATATATTTTTCCAATATAGCATGATAGGTCCACTTTAACTGAAGATATTGTAAATAAATGTAGTGAGTAAAAGTACAAAGTCCCATCAAATGTAAATACTCAAGTTAACTACAAGCATCTCAAAATTGTTCTTAAGTATAGTACTTGAGTAAATGTACTTAGTTACTTCCCACCTCTGGCTAAGCTAAGCCGCCGTCTGCAGTATCTTTACATTTACCATAAACACATGAGACAATCTTCTGATTTCTCTTTTTAAAAAATGGATTAAGTGCATTTCACAAAATGTTGTGCTTTTGCTTATAGAATTTCTGACTAGAGTTTCAGATCCAGCCAGACATCTGAGAACCAACTGAGACAAGACACAGCAAGAAAGAAAAGGGTGAGTAATGAGGAAGAAGCCACAGGTGAATGAAAACACTAGAAGCTCCTCTCTGTGCTGAGCGCGTGTCTCTTTAAGAGCTGGAGCGTGCTATTGAGCAGGAGGGATGGGGGTTGGTTGGCTGCATTGGAACAGTCCTCTTTAACGAGCAGATTTGCTGAGAGAGAGAGACATACACACACACATGGATCAGGAGAGAGAGAGAGAGAGAGAGAGAGTAATACAGAGATCCAGCCATAGGAGGAGAAGAGATTGTGAGACCAAGACAGGAGGCAGGCAGGCAGGCTGTGCGTCAGCCGGCACCCCATAGGGAAACATGGACACAAGCAGGAGATGCTGAAGAGGACAGAAAACAGGATCATATAGATGGATGTTATTTCATCAGGCGGGCAACCTGAAGGCAGCCCACGCAGAGGATAAACCACTTATGGACGCAGTGGATTAAAGATATAGAGACAGACTGAGAGAGAGAGAGGGGGAATAGAGGAGGATAAATTAATCAATTCAGTTGTTTATTTTCATTGTCTGTGTGTGCGCACTTGCTGCCAGAAAGATTGTGTGTGTGCCTACAAATCGTGTGTGTGGGTTAGGCTGGAGACTGCATTGCTGCTCCCCGGCACCACAGGACAGACAACTAAAAGAAGGCAGCCAAGCAGATTACCTTATGTGATTTCTGTCTCTTCCTCTCTCTATGCGTGTGTCCTTCCATGCACAACCAGGCACAGTGTGTGTGTGAAGGCTGAGAATAAGAAGAGGATGGGGAAGCTTGAAGTGATCTACAGATTCTAAGCCTGACTCTAAATGGTCTTCTATTTTGTCTGATCATCAGGACCGGACTCAAAGAAAGAACTGCCTTTTTCTTCATCCCTCAACACACAGCTCAAGTTTGGGCATTGCTGTTGATCAGATGGTTTGCTTCTTTGCCGGATAATTGGAGGATTGAAGGGCTGCCACCGGAGAGTCTTCTCGACTCTACACCCAAGAGAGGTGGGGGCATCATCAGGTAGGAGGCAGCAGAACGCGGGGGTCTGAGCGCAAAGCCAGAGAGGAGTAGGAGGAAGAGTTGTGCGTGTGTGTCGTTGACTGTGTAGGCAGGCCAAGGGGCCAGCCGGGGGGCCGGAGATGGTTTTAACTCCTGCTGAGAGAGGATAATGGCAGCTCTGGGCCCACTCCCCTCCTCTCTCACCTGCATCTGCCACAGACAAGCTGAGAAGTGCTAGCCCATGCTACAACAGCTCAGCAAAAGGATGGTGTGAACAGCATCACCCTTTCCCACCAAGCCGGGAGACCCCTGACACCCCAGTGAGGGGCCACGTTGTGTTGCTCACCTCTTTTCTCCCTGCTCTTCTGCCAACCAGCTGAAAACAAGGGGTGGCATTGCTTGATTTCTGTGGGAGTTGTCTCCCCCTCCCTCCCACTCTCTCCTCCTCCTCCTCCTCCACACCCCTAACCTCACCCACCTCCATATTTAGCTCCATGGATTGCTTTTAGCACCAACCTGTCCGTCTTCTTTCTCCCTACGTTTTCTTTTTTTTTCCTTTTTCTTTTTGTCGAGGCTTCAGGGGAATTGCCAAGACCTGTTTCATGCATGTCCACTGGCGGCAGGTTCAACTTTGACGATGGGGGGTCATACTGCGGAGGGTGGGAGGAGGGCAAGGCGCACGGCCACGGGATCTGCACAGGACCCAAGGGCCAGGGCGAGTACTGCGGTTCCTGGGCCCATGGCTTCGAACTGCTGGGCGTCTACACCTGGCCCAGCGGGAACACCTACCAGGGCACCTGGGCTCAGGGCAAGAGACACAGCGTGGGCATCGAGAATAAAGGCCGCTGGGTGTACAAGGGCGAGTGGACGCATGGCTTTAAGGGACGCTACGGCCTGCGGGAGAGCACGGGGACGAGTGGGAAGTACGAGGGGACCTGGAACAACGGGCTGCAAGACGGATACGGAACAGAGACGTACTCAGATGGAGGTAAGATTCGAAGTTGAGAAACGGGCAAATGCATTGTGGGTGTTTTGAGGGTGTATGAAAGGATTTGTGAACCAAACAGTTCTTGTCAAGAAGCAATCTTTGAGATTGATTGACAACTGTCGTCTGTGAAAATGACTTGATTGACGTGTCGATGAAAAGTTACAGAGGTGACAGGAATTTGTCTGGAGGTCTCCTCGGGTCATCCTTTAGTCTACACACACACACACACACACACACGCACACACACACACGCACGCACACACACACGCACGCACGCACGCACACACACGCACGCACGCACGCACGCACACACACACACACACACACACACACACACACACACACACACACACACACACACACACACACACACACACACACACACACACACACACACACACACACACACACACACACACACACACACACACACACACACACACACACACACCCAGACACACCCAGGCAGGGGGATGCATCAGGACAGGCAATCATAATGATTTTCTATCTCCTCTAATTTTCTCTCATTAACTCTTCGTCTTTTCCGCTCTCATTTTCTTTCCTCTCAACCCTTACCCCTAATTTTGGCTGCATGAGGACACACTGCGTTTTTGGAGGCCTTCAATCCAGGCCAGGCAGTCTTGAGGGATGTATAAAAGGTTGGAAGGACAGAGGAGGACAGCAGCTCCAAAGTAACAAGTCCCAAGAAAACAAGTGTTTTTGGAAAAGTGCATATGTTAAAATCCATGTCTCAAACTTGATTTCCCCACTTTAACGTACCATTCCAGCTTAATAACCCCTGTAGGCTACACTCTAAAATATCTTGTTAAATATACCACATTAGAAAGATAGACACTTCACTAGCATTTGTAGGAGGGACCTCCAAACGAGTGAAGTCCTAGTTGTAGTTATTGTGCGTCCAGACCAAAAAATACTAAGGCATTTCAACAAGCCAAGATTTAGTTGGTTTTAATCGGAGTCTGGTGCGGTTTGTTTGGGCAAAAAACTAATGCAACAATCGTACCCTCGTGCGGTCTATAACAACCTGTCAACGTACACTTGCGAGAGGGGTTATGGAATGTTTCCAAGTGAACCCTAGTACGTTTCAAATTGAAGGAGAAGAACATTTTGAGTTTTTGGGAGAAATTGAATCAATCATTGTTGTGTGTTCGCATCAGGCCTAACTTCGATACACTTAATGGATATGTTGGCCCTAATCAGAGGCGTTGGTTATGAACACTCTTAAACGTGTCGGGTAGAAACACCCAAAGCACGATTACTGCCAGTATCAACAACAGAATCAGTGGTTCGTTCTGCTCCGTCATCCGCTGGCACTGTTTTCTTCATCATTTTTTATTTTAGTGAAAGGCTGAATGTAAAGTGATTTGAAGGGTCTTGAAGACTGGATAAAGCGTTATATAAATACAGCCCATTTAACATTTACCATGATATCAACCAACTGGCATAGTGAACCCTGAAGCTATGCTGCTAAAAATTAAGCCAATAACAGTATATTTTGGACGACATGGCGACATTTTAAAATGTCAATACTGCATTTTTACACTGGCTATATACTGTATATATATATATATATATTTTAAGCGAAAGTTAATCTTAATTAAGTGTTAGCCACTTTAATGCATGTAATATATTTGAAACTATACATTTTTCTTTTATATGATATGAAAAATAATAATTATGAGAAAAAATTTACAAACCTCTTCCTTAATTATTTACAATATATATACACATATTTCAAAACACCTTTCGTGTGTAGAATCAATTGAATCATCAGATTTGCCCTGAAATTGAAATCAATGCACTTTGAGTCTCTTAGACCGAGGCTCGGGTCAGTCACTGTTAATGAGACACCCCACACCATATGGATTCCTGTTTACAAATAGATATACACACACACACACAGACACACACACACACACACACACACACACACACACACACACACACACACACACACACACACACACACACACACACACACACACACACACACACACACACACACACACGCACACTGATAAAATCTGCAGACCAGACTGATTTTAAGGAGTTGAATCAGGACAAAGTAGAAGGACGCGGCCTGTCAGATAACCAGACATATGGGAGGGATGGACGGAAGGAGGGAAGGAGGAATAGATGGAGCGACAGATGTACGGATTGATGTATCAGTTAATTGATGAACTGATAATGGAAAGATGGCTGGTTGGAATGACGGAAGACGATCATGATTACTAGGAGAGATACTATAATGAAGGGGAGAATGAGATCATTACAGTAATAAAGGATAGGATAGGAAAACCGCCCAAAGAGGAACGTGTTGGAGAGAGCTCAGTGAAGTATTTGAAGCCACATACTGTAAATGCAGCAGAGATTGGCCTAGTTCTGAGTGTTTATCTAGCTCCAACAGTACACAGTGTTCTTATTATAACAGCATGCATGTGTCCTTGATTTCGTCTAGGAGGTAGAATAACATGCTTTTATAGAAAGGATTGATGATCAAGGTTGATCATAACACAACGAAATTCAACCGAGAGATAATAAGAAACATTGCTATATGGTTGACCTACTCAACTAACAAGATTTTCACAGGGCCTTACTGAGCCGTCTTCACATTGTGTCGCTCAGCTTGATACTGTGTCTGCACATTAGGCGAGACAAAAATACAAGAGTTGTCTCAGGCGTTCACACAGGTAAAGACCAAGATTATATATTTGTAATGGGCTAGTGCTACAGAAACTTTAATAACATTGAAGAGAGACATTGGTCCTTATGCAAGATCGATAAACGTACAAATTCTTATTTGTATTAGTCTAACAATGTACGATTGCTCAAGGGCAAACTTACTAAGGTCAGAAATAAGAAATCCTTTATTCTTTTCATAGAGGGGAAATGTACAGCAAAGGTAAAGTGCAGATAAATGCAAAAGTAAAAACAGTATTCTATTCAGCACAAAATTATGAGTTTTTAGTGGATCTAGAACTGACTTATATTCTTTTTTTTCATAGCAGTAATTTAAGAGAGAATTTTAGAGAAAAATAACTGTTAAATTACATTAATTAGGAAGAGTAGTTTTAGATTCAACAGATTGGACTTGTTGTACCTTGGTGCGATCTTGTTGGAAAGAGCCATTTGTGCATCTAGAAGGAAAGTTTGGATTGTTCAAAGTGGGGTTTTATGAGGAACTTATCCAAAGCTGGTGTATTACCTACATTGGCAGCGTCCGGCAAGCCTTGAGTTTGGAGAAACAGGCAGGAATAGCATCACAGATTTTAAAAGCAATGTTGTTTTGCGGGGCTGAGTGAGTGAGTGTGTGTGCGGAGCTCCGCTGAGCTTGGGAAACACAGCGGGAAATCCACCTCACACTGTCTGCTCACACCAGCCTCCCGGGCGGACTCCTGATCTGCTCGGGAGTCCGCCCTGGCAGAGGGTGTGCCTATTGTTCTATAGCTGTGTGCCAATTGGTCCATTTGGACGTGGTGACGTCAATAGGCCCAGGAAGAAAAAAATGGAAAATGAGAAATCTCCAACGAGGCGTTCTGGGGCAGCATAGACACGTCTTTTCTGTGTTAGAGTTTTACTCCCTACAGGGTGTACTTTGAGGGTTTGTGACTGCAGACCGTTTACATGCAGAAAAACCTTCATAACACACAAGGGGACGGGTAATAACCGGAAAAGCATGACATGGGACCTTTAAGATAAACAATTCTACTTCTATGGCCACTTTATTAAACGAAAGAGTATTTCGACCGTTATTATAAATGTTACATGTATTTTCTAATTATCATCTTACATCTCACATGTCAGCCTTTGTGATTTATTACAGTGTACTGGACCTCAATTATGCATAAATGACAGAGGATAATCCTCAAGACTTTTTAATTGTAAAATCAAAACCCTAACCCTTTAAAGGGGCCCTATTATGCACATTTTCAGATTTCATATTTGTATTTAGTTTCTTCACCTGTGACATGTTTACATACTTTAACATTCACAAAGTGCTTTTTTTTCTCATACTGCCTGGTTGGTCAACATCTGAACCACTCAAACTGCTTGGGAGAGAAACTCCCTCTGGAGGGAATTTGGGATTTAAGCCTTTGCAGACTATTTACATGCACAACAACCTATTTAACACACTCCAAAAAGCATAATAGGGCCCCTTGAACAAGTGATTTGAACATGTGCAAGTTCCTTTGGCATCGCAAAATAAAGTGACCATAGGTCATATGTCTTCACGTTGTCTTCCGATATGGCCAAACGCAGGTCGCTCTGAGATTGAAGCTGAAAACCTTGAGGCTCCGTCATGTCCGTAGCAATAAGAGTGAGGAGCCAAGATGCTCCGCTGCCTACATACTTTTGGAACACGCTGTGCACTTCAGAGCCAGCTATGTTTCCCACAGTCAGGTCTAACTCACTGCCAGTCCCACTCTGCCCTTCAACTACACCTGATGCCACATCTCCAGGAATCACTCCTCCTCTATCTTAACTCTGCTGTTTGGATTTTCTCCTCTATCTCCTCTCCTCCCACCTCTCTCTATCCTCCCTCGCTCCACTGCATTTCCACGGAGCCGATCGGTACAGTAGGGTTTCCATAGCAACGCTCACCGACATGCAGCAGGTCAGCGTGTCACGAGGGACTGAGTGTTCGTTGCCGCTATTGGCCGCCCAGCCGGCTCTACCAGGCTCTGATTGGCTGGCTCGGCCTTCCGGGCTAATGGTGTTTACTGAGATGAAGAGCTAAGCTGGCTGATTACCGACCACACACACACACACACACACACGCGCCACACACACGCACACACACACACACACACACACACACACACACACACACACACACACACACACACACACACACACACACACACACACACACACACACACACACACACACACACACACACACACACACACACAACACACACCACACACAGAGAGTGAGGTAGAGTAATAAGACGACAGATGCTGTAATCATTTTAGTG